CACACAAAGAGTATAGTTTTTCTGCAGATATCAGCATGAACACATTTAATAGTAATTTTATACAAGTTCAGTAAAGCAATGTGAATTACATTTTAGACATAATATTGCTTGTTTTTGGTCAATTTTGCCAACGAAAATAGTTCCAAACAAAGTTACCTGATCCTGCAAGAGACAAGCAGGTAAAGAGAGCAGTGCGATGCCTTTGAAAGAAGAAAATACATACATAAATACGTTTTGTTACATGCTCATTTATAAAGTCTTTTGTGTAAAGTTTGACATGATATTGTCTGGCCTGAACCTGTATCCACGTTTTTCTTCAACGCGGAAGTAAGCCTATGGGTGAGACTTCCGGTTCATTAGCCCCATATAGGAGAATAACAACATGCAGTAAACGGTAAAACAGTTTGCACTACAAACTAGTGTGTTCATAATTAAGATAATACATAAAAATAATATGATAAGACACCAACTTTCAATATCAAGCAGCAAAACGAACTGTTTTGTTCAGCTAAAAATAGCTGGACAGAGTGGACGCAGATGAGACCGGAAGCCAGACCCATAGAATTTACAAATGGCCACGCCCATTTTTACGACAAGAAAAAGGTGGATAAACTGGTTTAAAGCACTTTAAAAAAAAGTTTAATTGCAACTTATTTGGCATGTGAAATAGGCGTAGCTGTGCTGGTGGCAAGACACGTTAAATGTTGCTGGCATTTAACATTTGCCACAATCATTATAGGAATTTACAGTTAAAGACATTGTAATGTTTTTTGTTATATAAGTCAGAAATGACAAGGAGGCAGCTTCCCGCAATACAAAGTCAATGGAGAGGGTTGGATTGTACACCAATACACTGCAGATCTGGATCCCCAAATCTGATTTTTTGCCTATATCCGATTTTTTGAAGACCCGCTTATTACACCTTCTTTGTATCCGATATCTGCATTTACACTACAGTACGCAGGCTTAACTTGACGTGGCTCAATGCATTAGACAGTGATATTAAAAGACCAAACTCTGCACACACTATTAATAAAGCATACTTTGTATTGAAAAGCAGATGAGATTTCACCCGAATGAATAGAGAGTCTCCACAAAAGTTAGCAATAGATTGAAGCGCTCGTCTGTGCACGAGCCACCGTCACTGATACACTGTAAATTCTAATTAGTAAACCTTACTTAAAGTATGCAAACCGATTGCCTTGAAAAAAACAAGTAAAGTGAAATAAGAATAGTAATTTGTACTAACAAAGGTTTATTTAGTGTTGTAAACTTACAGGTTCTGGTAACTCAGAATCACTATTTTCAACAACTAAATGATTAAGTACAATATACTATGTGCGTATTTCAAACAACTCATTTATTTAAGTTGAGCTAACTCATGTAACATTTCCTGCAACTTGGAATTTCTAAGTTGTATTTACTTGAACAGCAATCTAGTTTACTTGCTAAAAGCATGCAAACCGAATGGCGAATTAAGAAAACCATTAGCATTACTCCAGTAACTTAAGTGCTTCAAACTTCCATTACAAATTACCGACAACAATGTTATATTCTTCACACACATACAATTACACATACATTTAAGGTAGTGACAGTTCAAAGTCAAAGGTAATGTATTTTTTTATGTTTTTCAATGCAGTTTTAACTTGTATTACAAACAGTTTGAAACAAAGCAAAAACAATCTGATGTAGGGTATGCTAAACAGTGTAGGTAGCAGTACGATGAGTTTAAGTAAGGTACTGAGTTGGGTTTTTTTCTGTCCCAAGTCAAGCATCATACTGTAAGTGTTCTTCACAGTATTAGGGTAATCCAAATGTACCAGTAATCCAAATGTAGCACAATACATTTCTATCCTTCAACTGAATGTCTGTTTACCCAAAACATTAGACAGTTGATCATATAGCAATCATGTCTCTTCCGAAGACTTGAGCCGCTTTTCCACTGTCAGGCCAAACCATTCTCGTTGCTTAACCACTCCATTCTGTGCCGATACAGATATGGTTTAATTCTTCACTGTTGGGCTGTTAACAGAGCTCTTTGGAATTCAACATAAATGTGTCAGCCGTTGCCTTAGTAATGCAAGAGTTAAGATACGGTACCAGATGTACAGGTGCATCTCAAAAAATTGAGTGCAAAAAGTTTTTTTTTTTTGTAACTTATTTCAAAAAGTGAAACTTCCATATATTCTAGATTCATTGCATGTGAAGTAAAACATTTAAAAAGTTTTTTTTTGTTTCAATTTGGATGATTAGAGCTTACAGCTCATGAAAGTCAAAAATCCAGTATCTCAAAATATTAGAATATTTCCTAAGATCAATAAAAAAATAAAAAAAAAGGATTTGCAAAACATAAAAGCTCAAGATCTTTAAAGTATGTTCATTTATGCACTCAGTACTTGGTCGGGGCTCCTTTAGCACAAACTCCAGCATCAGTGAGGTGTG